TCCTCCTTGCTGGGCTCCTTCTTGCTGAGCTCCTTTTTGCTGGGCTTCGTTTTGGGGTCCGGAGCCAGGATCGTGCAGATGTGAGGGCTGCCAGGGTGTTCGGATGTTGAACGATTTCGGCAGTTCCTTCTGACGAGCCTCCCTTTCTACCTCTCAGGTATTGATTTTAAAGTGAAGAAAATGCTGGTGGAGGGCCGTGCAGTGCAGCTGGCCATATGGGTAGGTTTTGTTCCACACTGATGGGGTGTGTTGGGTTTTGAGAGGTGTGCAAGCTTCAGGAGCTTCTTTTTGTGGTTTCCTCGCTTCCTTCCTGCTCCTCCTCTCTCTTTGCTGAAGTCTTCCTCACGTTGAGATTTCATGAGTGTCGTGATGGCACAGCAGGAGCTGCAGACAAACAAAACCACTTCTAAAGGCTTCCTTAGTCAAGGTTTGGGACTTCCTTCCATTTCTTGTTTTCTTTACTGCTCAGGAGTTAAAATTTTAAATTTGCTTATCTTGTTTAGTTTAAAATACCCTTTTTTTGTTGTTATAAATGTATTTGATGTTGTGTGTTTGGGGTTATTTTCCCCCTCCTTCTGCAGGATACAGCAGGACAGGAGCGTTTCAGAACAGTGACTCCCAATTACTACAGAGGAGCTCAAGGGGTTGTTTTAGGTATGAAATAAATGGAAGAAAAGAATGATTACAGAAATTGTGGGCTTTATTTCTCCTAAATGTGCATGTCCTTGCAGAAGGAAGTTATCCACGATAATCAGAGGAATAATTATGGCTCAAACACTGGGTATGCAAAACCACAGGCAGGAAATACTGCTGCTTCAATTTATTGCTTAAATTAAAAATACAGAGATGTCATGCTGCAGGCTGTTGAGTGGATGAATTATTAGCTTTGTAGCTATCACATGGGTGGTTTTCTGGTAATAAGGCTAATCAGGGGTTGTGTTGTGTTCTTTTCCCCATGATTTTGTTACTTCTTTTTTCCCCCAGAAACTATTGATGTGATTGTTGTGATTATGGTAAAACTTGAGGTTTGTACACAAAGCCCTTTCTGTGTGGCAACAGCAATTAGAAAACAAAGGGGTTCTTCCTTCCAGGATTTGTGAAGACTAACCTTAACTTTGCTGTACAAAATATTCTTTCTGTGATTTTTAAACTTTAGTGATTTATGTAAATGCAGTTATTAAGTTACCAGTACCCAAAAGCTGCTTTGAACTCAGTCCATGTTTTACCAGCAGCGTGTGCATGTATTTATACATAAAATTAGCTGACAAAATGCCTTTTTTAAAATATTCTGTGTGGCCTAATTCAGCGCTATCAACAGGTAGAATATTTCTGTTGGTAAATCTGATTTTCCCTCCAGAGGTGCTTGTGTTCTGTAATCCTGAGGGAGCACAGCCCAGTGTGTTCCAGCTGTGGGAGGAGTGTGTGGTTGATCCCTCTTTCTGTAGTTCCCTAGCACCTTTTGTTTTTTCCAGGCAGTAGTTAGGAAGTGTGGATGGACTGAATTCTGTCACAATGAAGGAAGTGTTGTCCAAGGCTCTACAGCTGTTAAGCTCCTTTTCCTCTGTTCTCAGTGTATGATGTTACAAGAAAAGCCACTTTCACAGGCCTGGGGAGGTGGCTGAACGAGCTGGAGATGCACACCACCCCCAGCAGCACCGTGAAGATGTTGGTTGGCAACAAAACTGATAAGGTCAGTTTGGGATTGCATCCTTTTCCATTCTTCCCTGGGTTATTTATTCATCACAGGGTGTAAATGTGAGGGGAGTGCTCTAATTAACACAGCCAGCCTGGCACTGAGCTACAGAGTGGGAAAATCCAGTTGATTATTACATATCACAGACATTTTTTCCTTTCAACAAAACGTCATTTTTGAGGTTTTGTTCTCATTTCAGTGCTGCTTTTCTGGGGATTTTTTAAAGTGGCAAGTGTAGCTTATTTCAGTTTTGTTCTTCATCTGTGTCTGCAGCCTGAGCGTGAAGTGGAGAGAAAAGAAGGGCTCCAGCTTGCCAGGAAACACTCACTGCTTTTTATAGGTATGAAAAACTTCCACATTCAAATGCTTATTTTGGTATTGCCAAGCATGAATGTACAATTGTATTTCAGGTTGATAGGTTGATAAACCTTTTTTTTTTTTTTATATCTAATTAATATGGATTCCTTTTGCTGTAATTGCTGTGCAGGGATGTAGGTTTCAGATTCTGCATTGACCAGAAGCATTTTTCTCTGAAACAGAGAATTTACAGAGATTTTTTTTAGAGAAACAGAGATTTACTGCATATACTGTACAGGCATAAATTTTATATTCTCTTGAAACTAGCAGGATTTTTTAATTCAGAGCCCAGAAGACTGAAATTTTCCTCCTTACTGGTGTCTGCAAGGACCTTGGCTGAGCTTTCATTTCCAAGTTTCTGTTGCAGCTACATAAAAGACAGTATTCTTAGAGCTACAATAAAATGTACAATGTGAAGATATAAAGGTGGGAGTTTCTAAAGAGGAAGTTTCTTGAGAAGATTTCTAGGAGAAATTCAAACACATAGGGGACAACAAGCAATTCCCTCTGTATTCTTTCTCAGCTTTGTTATGGAGTAATTATCTTCTAGATTTACTGTCACAACCTGAGAAGAATTTCTTTTTCTCCATTATGGAGAAAATAGGCAACTGTGGATTTCTTTTTGGTGGAAAAATGTGATACTTCAGACTGGGATGTATTTCTGTTTATCCTATTCAACCTAAGTGTACATTTAAGAGAAAAAGAAGAGGAAGTTCACTCATTAAAAAACTCCCATTTTCTCTCTGGTCCCGAAATACATTTTTCTAAGTGGAATATACTCCCTGCAAATAAGATAAAATAAAATAAGATAAAATAAAATAAAATATTTTTTTCCAGAGACCAGTGCCAAGACCCAGGATGGAGTGCACCATGCCTTTGAGGAGTTGGTCATAAAGATCCTGCAGACTCCAGATCTTTGGGATAAGGGCACAGGGAAAAAGGGAATCCAGCTCACGGAATCTTCAGCACAGCAGCACAAAGGGTTATGTGCTGCCTACTGTGCACTTATTTAAATGTACAGCTGGCTGTTCTGCCTGAGTGGAGGAAAAAAAAATGGGGTGGGGATGGGATTCCCAGCACCAATCTGTGCCATCAGTTGTGCAGATGCAAACCACAAACTCATTAGCAAAATACATTTTTATTCATTAACAAAATGCAGTTTCTCCTTCCCTTTTGCACAACTGCTGCCTGCAGGTATTTTTCTGGTAGCTCTTAGATTTTTCACTATTAAATCATAGTGCTGCTTAGAGAATTGTGCTTTTGCTGTATTCAGCATGGACTTTTGCTGGAATTCCTGCCTCAGCATAAATTAATTGGTATTAAATTCTGCAATATTATTGAGAAGCTTCTTTTGCCTTGGATGGCATGGGAGGCTTTGAGGCACCCAAGTCACCTTCATGCAGTTTCTCAGCAGGAATTTGATCAGTGGACAGAGTTTCCTGATTTTGGATGGTTTTAAAAAGTCAAAATTGGGATATGTGCCCAGGCAGTAAGCTGAGTTACTGGTTAATTTGGGGGCTGTGATGAAGAGGATGTGAATTTTAACATTGTCAGGAAAAGTGCAGGACACTGAAGGTTGACCCTGTGCTGTTTGCACTGAGGATCAGGGATTAATTTTAGGGCTGTGGTGAAGAGGATGTGACTTTTAACATTGTCAAGAAAAGTGCAGGACACTGGTGATTGCTGTTCTCTTTGCACTGAGGATCAGGGATTGATTTTAGGGCTGTGAGGAAGAGGATGTGCATTTTAACAGGAACAGTGCAGGACACTGTGGTTGCTGTACTGAGGGGCAGGGGTGAGGTGCACTCATCATTTTGGGCTGTGGTTTTGCAGTCACTGAGAGTCTCTGCAAACCCTTGTCCTCTTCCAGAAACCACAGATAAAATTGGAGATTTTATCAGAATTGATAAAAATGTTATCAGAAATTGATAAAACTCAATTTCACAGAAAATGTGCTGCCTATGGGAGACTTTGCACTTGGGTGAGTCTGTCACCAACCCCACTATGAAGTTACCCTTTTGTCTTTTACACTTTTAATGGCAATATTGTATTTTTGCTAACTTACATTAAAATAAATGAAAATTCCAGATGTAACTTGTGCCTTGCTTTTGTTAATGCATATTCCTACTATTAGACTATGTTAGATAATAAAGCAAACATACAGCTTTATGTACTGCTAGTCATGCATATTTTAAGATATGACAGCAACCTTGCTTTAAATAAATTCTTATTTATGCTGTATATATAAATAAAATTAATTAGATAAAATCAATTAAATAAATAAAATAAAAAATAAATTAAATAAATAAATAAAATTAATTAAATAAATTCTTATATATGCTATATATAAAAATAAAATTAAATAAAATCAATTAAATAAATAAAATTAATTAAATAAATAAAATTAAAAATAAATTAAATAAAATTAATTAAATAAATTCTTATATACGCTGTATATATAAATAAAATTAAATAAATAAAATCAAATAAATAAAATTAATTAAATAAATAAAATTAAAAATAAATTAAATAAATAAAATTAATTAAATAAATCCTTATATATGCTGTACCCTTAGCTTTTTAACTTAAATCTGAATCTTCTAAATATATTCATGTCTTGCAGACTCTAAAAATCAGTTTGTAACCTGAAATACAGAGCTAGGGTGAGATCAATCTGGGCATTTATTATTTTCATAAAATGATTTAGTTTGAAATGCTGTTACTGAAATAATTTTTGAAGAATTTCCTATGGTTTTTCACAGGATCAAGGTACATCTGTCATGAATTGCTTCTCTAAGAATCCTTTTTGGTAGCACATGGTTGCAGAACTGCATGTGGAGGAGTCCTCAGCATTTTTGAGGTCACCAGCACTGACAAATGCAGAGAAAAATTCTTGTTTTTGTAGCAGTGGCAACAGAACCTCAATGCCCACGGGGCAGAACCACACATGGAAATTCTCATTTGGAGAGGATGGATGGGGAGGATTCTTCTACACAACTTTCTGGGCTTGACATAATGTAGATTCAGTGACACTGGTGTGTAAGAAATGTGCTTTTAATGTGCAACTTTTAGTTCTGCTAAATGTCCTGGAACAAGAAGAACATTGTGTGTTAGGATATAAGGAACACAAAAAGGTCTTGTTTAATACACAGAAATATCAAACCTCAGCAGGCAGGTGAGGACAGGGCCCAGTTACAGCTGCCATGCACCTGCACAATGCTCTGCCCTCAAATCCCCCTTGTCCGGTTATCTCGGCTGTTTGAGGGGCCTGGAAAGGCCCGGAGTGGCCTTGGGGCAGCCGCGTATCGAAGGACGAGAAGAGGCTTCAGTTCTTCTTTCGGTTTTTATGTTTATTAATTGTTTATCTAAAAGATTTTCTTTTGGCCTGACAGAGCTCTGCTCAGCAGCCAGCCATGAGCACACTC